GGCTCTTCATTGCCTCCAACAAGCAGCGCCTCGACGAGTACAAGAGGCTCATGTCGGCAGGAAGAAGCCCCCCCGTGTGTCCCCCGGCCGGGTGGGCTGCGGGAGGTGGTGGGGGTGGTGATCTCCTGCCCATGGGACCTGGGGGTCCCAGGGCTGCGGAGCCCCTGGGGTCTCCGAATGGCCTCGTCCCTCCCTACCTTCCCACCCAGGAGAGCTGCGGGTGGCCTGTGGTGGGCTTCCAGAGCAGCCTCCTGGCTTCCGTGAGGCTGCTGAAATTAGGCAAATTGCTGGCAAAGTTGGCAAAATTAAATCCAGCCATGGATTTTTGCCCTTTCAGATAGTGGCTGCATCGGTTTCCCAGGGTAGCATCATTTTTCCCAGCTGCATGGGCAGCTTGCATGCGAATACAGGACCATAGTCCTGAAATCTGTGCAGACCATCCCACCCCACGCTGGATTCAGGGCTTGCCTTGGTGCCGCAGTTGCCTCATCTGGGAGATAAACACATCCTGGGGGGCTCCTTCTCCTCCAGCAGCAAGTGATGAGCAAAGCTTTTGCTGCCTGCTTGAGCTCCCGGTTTTCCTGTCCCGTTGGCAGCTGGGGAAGGTGTACGGCGTGGAGTCCCATGTCCTGACTCCATCGCAGACCAAGGACCTGTACCCACTGATGAACGTCGATGACCTGTATGGCACGCTGTACGTCCCCAAGGATGGCACCATGGATCCAGCTGGTACCTGCTCCACGCTTGCCAGAGCAGCAGCTGCCAGAGGCGCTATGGTAGTTCCTAATTAGTAATTGCTTATTAATGCCTGTTGACCCTGGGAGACTTCATCCTCTGCTTCCCCACCTCCTCCTTTCCCACTGGGGCAGAGCTGCTCCTGCAGCATCAGGTCTTTGCCCAAGGTGTTGGCCTGTTCGGCTTTATGGCTGTTGGGGCCATAGCAACAAAGCTGGCAGGAACCACGAGATCCAGGGAAAATACGGGATGTAAAAAAAGACCTTTAGGAGCAAGACAAGGCAGTGCCCAAGGCAGGGTCCTCAGGAGAGCGGAGGTTTTAGGGTCAGGCAATGCAATCCATTCCTCAAGGAAGGGCACTACCAGCCCATCCTTGGTGCATTGCTTTGCTCATGTGCATGTGAATAATAAACGTCCTCTGCCGCTGCGGATGCACGGAGCAGGGGCTGAGGAGGGGTCTGTTGGTACCGGCGTAACAGTAAGAGCTGTTGGGAAAGGGAGATGCCTGTTGCCAACCTTTCCCAGATTTGGGGACTAGATGTCGGGCGAGCTGGGTTGTCCCACTGCCCTTGCAACCCTGCCGTGACTCTGCTGCCCTTCCTCTGCCACCAGATCATAGAGAACTGCCCGGTCACCGGCATCCAGGTCAGAGCTGACGATTTTGGGGTGAAGAGGGTGTATGCGGTGGAGACGGCCCACGGGACCATCCAGACTCCCTGCGTGGTGAACTGCGCAGGTACAGGGCACGAAGCACGGCGGGGAAGGTGGGGTGCCACAGGGTGGGGGGTGGCTTTGCACCCCGTGAGCCGGAGGGTCTGCATCGGTCCCTGTCCCCATGTCCCCCCCATCTGGCTGCCACCCCCAGACCACCGCAGGTCTGCGGAGGAGGGAGAGGTGCTCAGCGCGGGGCTGCTCTCTCCCTGCAGGCGTGTGGGCGCCAGCCCTGGGCCGGCTGGCCGGCGTGCACGTGCCGCTGGTGGGGATGCATCACGCCTACGTGGTGACCGAGCGCATCGAGGGCATTCAGGTCAGTCCGGGTGGCTGCAGATCGGCTGCTCTGCTCTGGAGGGCGGCGCGGGCGCCTGCCCCCCCATATGTGGCAGGGTGAGATGGGACAGACCCCCCTGGCTCCCCCGAACGTAAGGGACACCCCCCCGCCATCCCTGCCTTCAGCGCGAGCTCTGCAGGCACCTGGAGAAGTGCACCCCCCGCAGCTTCTCCTCCTAGCAGGACTATCAGACTACCTTTAACAGAGGCGTATTTAATATTTAACAACGTTATGGCTAGCAGGATAACTTTCTTCATTTCTTTTTCATCTCGGTAGAATTATTACAGGGTCTCTGATGTGTTTGGTGCCTGATAGCAGCATTCATAAAGATGCCAAACACTCTGAAGAAGCCCCCGTTGCCGGCAGGCAGAGGTGTAGCTCTCCAAGTGTTTCTAAACTCTCCCAAGAAATCTGTTCCTGCTGTCCGGCTGCAGGGAATCGTTCAGGAGCCAAAGGAGACTTCACTGACCCCAGCGCCAGGGCTTTGAGGATGATGCGTTATTTAGTCTCCATCCCACTGACATAGTCTGTGCCTGACTTTTCAGTCCGAGGTGCCTCATTTTAAAAATTGCTGGTGTCAATCATTACGTTTATATCCCAGTACCTCCGCTGTGCCGTACGGACACGGTGAGGAAGAGGCAGCAGCTTGCAGCCCCCGGTGCCTCCTGTTCAAGCCACTTAATTCCGTTTGTCACCATGAATTGCAGTAGGCCCTACACCAATGCTTCCCTGCTAAACGTCTCTCTATCCATTATTCACGAGAACAAATCCCTCGTTCTTTGCGCACTGCTGCCCGCGTGCCGTGCTGGCGCATCCTCCCGGGGAGGTGGGTGGCAGAGGAGTGATGCTCTCCAAGCTGGGCTCAGCCGCCGCGGCTGCTCCCGCTCCCCCGAGCATCCCCGGAGCTGCCCGTGCCGCGGAGGAGCAGCCGGGGGGGGCTGCTGCCCTGGTGCCTGTGCGAATGCACCCGCAGGGACACACAGCTCCTTCCCGCAGCGCCAGAGCTCACCAGCTGCTAATTAGGCAGGATTTGTGCAAGGTTCGGCTTCCAGCTTGGGTGCCTGGGCTCAGGCCTGGTGAACGGGCGCGCTGCCCGCAGCGTCGCTGCCTGCGTAAGCCGCTTTGCCCGTGGTTTGGGCCAGGTTTGCTGGAGCTGACCTGGGTGCAATGTGGGCACCCAAATTTCCACGGAGCCACCGCTGCTCCCATCCTCGGCAGGTCACTGCTGCATGTGCCGACCCCCTGCCCCAGACCCCCAGCTCATCCCGCTCAGCCTCTCTGGGGCAATGTTGGGGTCTCCCCATGGCTCTCGGCCCCCTCTCACCCCTCCGGTCCCCCCGCCCTGTTTTTCAGAACATGCCAAACGTTCGTGATCACGACGCCTCGGTGTATCTCCGTCTCCAAGGCGATGCCCTTTCTGTGGGTGGATATGAGTCAAACCCCATCTTCTGGGAGGAGGTGAGTGGTGCTGGGAGGTTTTCCAGGGGAACCAGGCAGGTTTCCAGGGAACCCACCTTGGAGGGGTGAGCACAGGCATGAGTGCCCCGGCCCCCAGCTCCTGCGGGTACTAACCTCCATGCGGCCGGTGGGGAAAGCATGGGGCAGCATCTTCCCTTTGGGTCTGTCTGGGGCATAGATATGAGGTGCAGAAGCAGCAGGCTGAGGTGAAAAGGATGGGCTGGGCTGGGAGGATTTAGAGGCCACCGTGTGGTCCCTGCCCTGCTGCATCATCCCTTTATCCAGGTGCAGGTGTCTTAATTTGGGCTGCTCATGAAAACCCAAAGAAACCAGAGTCAAAGCACCTCAATTTTCTGTAGTCTTGGAGGCTGCCAGGGCTGAGAAGTCCTTACACCCTCAGCTGTACTCTTTTTTTGTGTCCCAATTCCCTGTTTCCCACCTTCAGGTATCTGAAAAATTTGCTTTTGGCCTCTTTGATCTGGACTGGGATGTTTTCATGCAACACATCGAAGGTGCCGTCAAAAGGGTACCGGTGCTGGAGAAAACGGGCATTAAATCCACCGTCTGCGGGCCAGGTAAGGGTGGCAGCGGTGGCACTGTGGTGGCTGCGTTTCCCCAAGGATCTTGGTGGATGGAAGGGGAAACTTCATAACCTGGGGAGAAGAAAAAGTCTGCGAGCGGAGAGAAAGCAGCGGTGGTCTGGCTGCAATGGTGTCATCTTCCGAGGGGTGGCAGCCCAGGCTTAGCCTAGGTGGAGAAACCCCGGGAGCTCATGGCCTTGGTCCAACCCAGGGGGTGGCTAGCACAGATTTACAGCCGATGTGGCCACTGGCCTGGGGAATTAAGGGACAGATTTTTTTCAAGCAGTGGCCGTTGTTTTACCAAGTATTATTTTATATTATTATTTTTTACTACTTGCTTCTGGGCCGGTGGCATTAGATGTACCCGGCTTTACATCCCAGGCTATCTGGTGCGGAGTTAAAGGCCATAGCACGGCTGCAGTGGCAGCTGGAGTAGATGCCAGCCGTCGAACCCGGGCCCTACACACTTGGTTTGGCCTTGAAATCCACCACAGGCTAAAAAAAAAAAAAAAAAAAAAAAAAAAAAAAAAAAAAAAAAAATTTAAAAAATCCCTTTTTGCTGAAGCACTTAAAGGGAAACCCTCGAGGCACTCAGGGACGGAGCGATGCTGCCGTGCAAGGGGAAAGTAGGGCAGATAAAACATGACACGCGCAAGGCAGAGGCCTTGGCCCCGGGTACGGCGGGTTTGGTGAAACCACGGTGTAAGCAGAGCTGGTGGCCTCCGGTGGGGACCTGACTTCTTACAGATAAAGGTCTGGCATTCTGTAGCACAGTAAATGGCATTTCCAAAGGGTCAGTGCTGCTCCTTTCCTGCTTCTTGATCTAAACCAGCAGCCGGGTTGCTTGCGCCGCTGCGTCACGCTGAGCTGAAGCAAACGGCAAACGCTCGCCCTTTCTGCTGCGCGGGAAATGCTTCGGCGCCAGAACAGCGACCGTGCGCCACTTCAGGCGCAGGGGACGAATGCAGACCGAATTGGGGTGGTTTAAGCTGTTTCTGCTCCGCTCGCTGGTCCAACCCTGCAGCCGAGCGGGCCAAAGTCCCGTGTGAGCGCCCAGCATCCATCCCAGTGCAAAGGCAGCCAGGCTGGCGTGCACCGCTGGCGAAGGGGAGGTGCCTTGGGTGGTGCTCCTTGAACTCAGTAAATTTGTAGCCTGGCGTGCCACTACGCGGATATGGGCATGAAACAATCTTCTGACCCTCCTCTTGCCTTCTCCTGAGCGCAGAGGTCTTGGGAAACAAGCTGGGCATTAGAATCATAGAATCACTTTGGTTGGAAAAGACCTTTAAGATCATCGAGTCCAACCTTTAACCTAACCCTGCCATCCCACCATTAAACCATATCCCTAAGCACCTCATCTATCCTTCTTTTAAATACCTCCAGGAATGAGGACTCGACCATCTCCCTTTGCTGGGCATGGGAAGGACCAGACTGAACTCTGTCTTCCCTCTCTCCTTTCACGTGGATGGATGAACCACCATAAAATAGGGAGGAGGATTGCACACCTCTGGCGGGCTCTCTTCCTCTGTGCTCCCTAGTGGGGATTTGCACGGGGGCCATGGTTGATGGCCCTGTGGGGAGCGGGAGCTGGCAGCATGAGACATCATCAGCCCCGGAGCCTTGGGCGACATCAGCAGCAATCACTCAGCTGAATGAAGTAGCTTAAACTCATAAAATTTCCCAGCAGAAATCAATGAAAGTGAAAAATAGTCATAAAAATGAAATACGGGCCAGATGTTGAAGAGGCAATGGATGGGTCTGGGCAGCTCCCTTGACTGGGGGAGTGGGAGAAAGCAAGAGGCTGGGGCAGCCGCCGCAGTGCCTCGTGCACCTTCTGGTCGGGGATTCGTTCTGCTTCACAAATTTCCAACCTAAACCTTAACGCTGAGGTCCTCCCCCTGCAGTGCTGGCGTGCAGCGAGTGCTGCCGAGCTCCCCAGGGGCATGGAGGGCACGGTTAACCCGAGCCTGGGGTCTCGACGGTGCAGGGACAGACTGTGCGGCGCGCAGGGTGGCAAAGGAGCTTCCTTGTGCCACCAGCACCTGCCTCTGCCACCAGCAGTGCAATGTGTGTGTGTGTGTGTGTGCATATGTGTGTACTCGTGCAAGCTTCTGAAGCAAATATACGTGTATATATGTGTGTATATTTGCTTCAGGAGCTTGCACAAGACCCCTGTGTGATGCTGGGCATCCCAGTACGAGGGAAACCTTCCCTTTGGCCTCTGCTGCCTGGGCGCTGTTGGAGAGGTGCGGGCGGGGGATGCCCATGCTGAGATGCTGGGAAGCGCTTGGTGTTGGCCAAACTCTGGCTCTCTGGGAGCAGGACGAGGCCAGCACGGGGAGTTGTAGGAACCCTGCTCCTAGAGTGCATGATGTGTCCCCAAAACGTCCACCCTGCCCTTGCTGGCTCACGCCCCTCTCTGTCTTGCAGAGTCATTCACGGCCGACCACAAGCCACTCATGGGGGAAGCCCCAGAAGTCCGAGGCTTCTTTCTTGGCTGTGGCTTCAACAGCGCTGGTAAGAGAGACCTGAAGGGATCACACCTCGGGCATCCTCATGCGGGCATCGTACCCCGGGCAGAGCCCGGCATCCTCAGCTGTGCTTGGCCTCCTGGCCTCATCTGGGTCCTCGCCTCTTCCCCCAGGGATGATGCTGGGAGGCGGCTGCGGGAGGGAGCTGGCTCACTGGATCATCCACGGCCGGCCGGAGAAGGACATGTACGGCTACGACATCAGGTGTGTCACCCCGCCTGCCCCAGGTCCCCGTGGGCTGCGGGCTCCTTCATCCATAGGTGGTCCCTGGGGACGGGTTTCGAGGCAGGGCTGGGTGCTGGCATTGGGCGTGGGTGTCAGGCAGCGTCTGTGCCGCAGCCCGTGTCCCTCCGAGGAGCTGGAATCAATTAGGCTCAATAGCTTTAATGAATTTACACGTGGGGTTTATCTCATTTGCCTCATCCCACTTCTACGCAAACAGCTTCCATCAGACAGGAGGAGGTTGCGGTGATGGGAAAGGACAGGGTAATTACTTTTGGGTTTTGTTGTTGTGCAATTAGTGCCGTGCCTAATCCTCTAAGTTAATAATCGGGGGGGATGATTTCAACAGGAGAAAGATTAGCTGCCCCCCCTCCGCAGCGCGACACGGGCCAGCAGTTTTGGTTGTGCAGATGTTGGCTCTGTAATTGCTTTTGACTTGCTTCATTATATTTGATTGGGTTTGGGCTCCCTTAGAGGGCTGCTAGTGACAGCAACCACCTTGCCAGGGACAAAGCTTTTAAAATCATGTTGCGTTAGTGGCAAAGCTGGTAAACACGCCACTGACTCGGGCTGGGAGGAGAGGGGAGTCAGTGCTGGTGCCTGCAGAGGTCAGCGGGAGATGCCTTCCTCCAGCAGCCCTGCAGCTGGGCCA